TGGGCCAGAAGCTCAGCTTCGGTAGTCATTTGCATTATGGGCGAATGGGGTGCAAGGGGGTAGCGCTGGGCTAGCTCCACTCTGCCTTCCGAACGGCAATCCTTCCTCTGGCGAGAATACAGGTACCGAAGTGGTCCCCATGTGTTTTAGGGATAATGGGTCGATTCATATCATATTCCCACATACAATGCCAAACTGTTAATGCGAAAAAGTGGTTCAACACTTTTTGGGCTCAACTTAGTGATGTTGGGCCTTCGGTATGCCTTGGGTCTCTGTGGAGCGTGTGATTTGCAAGATAACAAACATTCGGTAAGACCTTAGGCACCGATGTGGTACCGACCGAAAACTCTCCGATTCTTCAGTAAGTACGGATTTAGTAAACTTAGACTGACAGATCAATAGGATGTATGCCGTAAGTTCCGATTACCTCCATTTAGGGATAGTGGTCCTATTTATAAGCCTTGGGAGGTGTGCTTATTATTTAGAATTTTGATGTGGGACTGTGGACGTCGATTGTGGGCACGCCACATGTCTTAGATAAGGAAGTTGCCCTAATCGCTGGATCGGTAGGCAAAATGCCGAAGGCCACCATTGCCAAGCGCAATCTTGTCCACGTGTCTGGTCCTTATAGGCTATTCATTTTGGTATAAACACAAGCAATGAGACTTATACGTGTTTCACGAGCAATGACAAACACAATCCACTACACAAGACAGCATAATAAGAATATTACAATGAAGAAAATGTACTTTTTCCTTGCATGCAAAGGTACTTCCTCTTCTCTCCCCTTGTTCTGAAAGAAAACCCCAAATGCACACGCAAGCACTCATGCTTTTTTATGAAGGAACATTTCCACAAGCATTCACACATTAAAAACACCAACCCTAGTATTTTAACATAATGTAAAAACTAGGGCTATGAAACAAAAATAATAATAATAATCCAAACCACCTTTAAAAGCTCGAAAAACTAGACTTGCTGAAAAACGCTTAAGCCCTAATATGCAACCAATATACAGAACAAAAATTTCTAGAATTTACTTACAAATAAAGAGCTATGAATTTCTGGAATTTACTTACAAATGTACTACAAATAAAGAGCTATGTCAAAAATGGACTGCAGAGAGAGTAGAAGAAGACCTCCAGAGACAAATTCTCAGGAACTAATTTAGCAAGCTCTGCTTCATCAAGTCGTGCTCTACAGGTTCTTGAAAAAGCTTCAATGTCTTCCATACTTGGGGAGCCAGATCTGTAGTACATCCATGTGGTTTGAGCTCAAAAGGCATTCATATGACAGCTTACACAATTTGTGAAGAGACTTATTAACAAACAGATAAGATTTTTTCTACCAATAAGAAAACAGAGAAACAAACACAAATGAAGTAAAGTTAACAACAGACATTCAACCAATATTGGTTTTGCCACATCCACATTAGTTATTAGACGAGTGGTGTGCTTACTAGCTGCATGCAAGTTTTATACAGTAGAACTAGCTCTTGTGCGCCCTAGAAACTTCTATTTTGCACGTGTAAAGTCCAGGTTGGTGAAGTGTTTAGTTGGCTGTTAAGTTGTGATTGACATGCATTGTTATACCATCTCCTAATAGCTTAGGCTTTTTAGAACAATTGTCATGCTCTTCAAATATGTGTACATGAAACATTTAGGCCAAAAGTTACCAATTTTCAAATAAACCCCCAAATAAGCCTTTTACCATTTGATACATTATAATGCATAAGATCCCAAATAATCCAATACAATCATCTAATTGCTATATGCTATTTTTGAACCACATGCAGAAACAATGTCACGTTTTGATCCAATTCTTCATCATATGCACTATCCAGCTATATTAAAAACGATTGGAAATCGATTCACATAAAAGATTTCTCACAAAGAGTTATTAGATAGAAAAGAGGAAGAGGTTAGTGAAGGAAAAGGCAATCTGAAGACATCTTTGCAAACAAAACATAGAGATCTGTGTGCACAATGCAACACCATTTCCCTAAAACCTCCAACCCATCAAACCTAATTTTGATAGATTTAGCATACATGAAGTTTCATGATACGCTCTTACACATGGCAAGCATAGAATCTGCATCACATACTAATTTTATAAAATTGTAAATTAGCAAGTATTCAAAATTATTCGTCACATCTAATTTTGGGTTTGATGATTACCTATTCAAAAGCTTCTCAATGCGCACTTGGATGGTGAAATTTGGCAACGTTTTAAACGCTTATATTTTCGGGTCACCATCAAAGGACAGAATAACTTCTTCAGCTATTTCTAATGCCTTGTTATGCCACCATACCCCCCCACCTCCTCCGCCTCCATCTCCAGCCTTCGAAATGAATCAAAAGATTGTTAGGATCAATCTCTAAGATTACCAAGCGGCAATAATAACTCATACACACTACTCACAGAGTTCAACAGACTCTTCTTCGTAGTAATCATCACCCTCATCATTCATTGATGCCTCTGTATGATTAAGAATTCACTCGAACATGAAACATTTCTGACCAAACTTTGCTGTAATAAAATAGGATAAGAAAATGAAAACCATTCCCATTGCTCAGATGCTAGAACTACCCATTAAAGAATAATCAACACGTTAGCATTATACTTAACTAGCTTTTCTGGTATAAAACAATATAAGAAACTCGAAATACATGACAAAGATTTATAATGACATAAGAAACTTCATGGCAAAGAAATGTACAAATACAAATTCAAGAACCCAGAACATAAGCAAATTCTAATATCTTATCAGAAAAAGGAAAGAAAATGAAAAATAGGTAAATTCACAAAAACACCATCTTCTTCGAAGTCATCCAAGATAACGTCATCGTCGTCTTCATCGTCCTCTGAAACTTCTTTGATAATGGTTGGTTTGAGAAGTGGCTCAGGCTCTGAGTTTCGCTTGCGGGCGTGAAGTGCAGGAAAATAGTTGCATGCTCCCAGTTGTGGAGCTTGAAAGAGAGTTGAGACAACACCCACATTCTTCCTTGATTGCACATGAAATCTAAGCATTTTACTAGTCCAAGCTAATCCTCCCTATCAAACATGGCCTAAATACATGAAGCATTTTACTAGTCCAAGCATGAAATCCCAAAATACACTTACTGCAGAAATATGATAAACTTTCTTGCTATAAACTAGCTTTATGACAGTACTCTATTTATGGAGAACGCATGATACCTCGTTCACAATCAAACAAAATTCAAGCCTAATGTATGTACATAGCTCAGTGCCAAGAAATAAATAAAGAACTGAAATGCACAAGGTTAAATAATCTTACAACTCCTCCTTTGTGAACCCACTCAATTTAATTTGAATCAACTACAAGAACACTTTTGAATAAGATAGATATCTGAGCTGAGTATGCAAAAGTGATCATCTTCAGGTAGTAACTAAAATAAATTTTCAAACTAGAACTTTGGTAAGAAGACGCTCCTTTTTCTTTGAAAGTAGAAAACATGGAGGGAATTCATGAATCACCCTTCCTGACAAATTCATCAACATTCCCAATCCCCTTAATCAGAGAGTAATATGTGCTGTCATCAGGTTTGATCCCTCTGCTCACCATTTCTTTAAGGAGTACTTCAGCAAGATCACCTTCTTGGGTTTTGGATAGACCTTGTATAAGGGCATTGTAAGTTAGAAGGGTAGGATTGAAACCTATGCTCAACATCTCATCCCGAACTTTAAAGGCATCCTTCAAATCACCTCTTTTACTATAACCACTAATTAGGGTATTGTAACTAATGTGATCAGGTTTAATCCCCCTTCTCTTCATCTGGTCCAGAAGTTGACGAGCTTCCTCAACTTTCCCTTGCCTGCAACGCCCTTGCATTAGGGTATTGTAAGTCACTTCATCCGGATGAACCTTCATCTTATCCATCTCCCCCAAAAGTGCAAATGCACGCTCCATGTTACCGTTAGCACAGTGGCCATCAATCAAGGCATTGAACATCACAAGATCCGGCAGAACACCCTTCGTCAATATCTTCTTAAACAAGTCATCTGCCTCCTTCATTCTTTTGTTTTTACTCAAAACATACATAAGTGATGTATAAGTTACCTTAGTAGGCTTTATCGATTTACTCAACATTTCATCAAGAAGGCTAAAGGCTTTCTTTGCATTCCCACTTCTGCAATAGCCGTTAATTAGGATGTTATATGTAATTCCATTAGAAACCACTCCCTTCTCTTCCATTTCTTTAACCATCTCATAAGCTTCAACCATCCTACCTTCCATAAACAATGCATGAATCAACAAATTGTAAGTTGACACAGTCGGTCTTATACCCTTCTTCACCATCTCATCTCTATAACTGAAAGCCTTGTCCAGATCACCTTCGTTGCAATAACCATCAATCAAGATGTTGTAAGTCACAGCACTTGGAAGTAGCCCAATTTCCAGCATTTTATTGAAAAGCCCCACTGCTTCCTGAAGTCTTCTTTCCTTACACATCCCGCTAATAAGCGAACCATAAGTGTAGGAATCCGGCTCAACACCTTTACCTTTCATAGCACTAAAGATCATTTGAGCCCTTCCAACTCTCCCTCTTGAACAAAACCCGTGAATTACCGTATTGTAAGTTACAACATTAGGCTTAATGCCCGAACTCTCCATAAACCCAACAAACTCCTTTGCCTTCTTCAGCTTCCCTTCTTTACACAACACATTAATCATTATGTTAAACGTACAAACACTCGAATTTATCTTCAACCTAAACATCTCAGCATACAAAACCCACACTCTCTCCGTTTGGTTCAATTTCAAGAACAAACTCAGCATGTCATTGCACGTCTCAGTCTTAGGCATAAAACCTTTATCTACCATCAAGTAGAAGCAGTCAACAGCCTCGTCGGCCTTCTTCATTTCACAACAAGCCCTTAGCAACAAATCAAAAATGATGCTGCTATTTACACTCAAATGCTCCCGCGAGAGCGCCAGTGGATTGAAAATCTCTCTGATTGTAGCAATGCCACTACCAACGACTTGCTTCAAGAGTTCAAAAGCGGGTTGTGGGGAAGACTGGCGGGCGACAATGGCGATGGCGAGGCACCGGGTTTGGATATCCAGGCGGTGAAATTCGACATTGGAGATGAATTCAAGGACAAGTTGAGGGCTTTTTTGGAGTTCAAAGAGGGCCTCGGAAATTAGAGAGGGGGAAAGGTTGGGCGAAAGGTGTTTGATGAAATGCCACTGAGAAGATTGGATGGTTTTGAGTAGAGAGCGGCGGGTTATTGGTGGAGGGTCTGTGGGGTTTTCTGGATGAGTGAGTGAAGAGAAAGGTGCGGAGGAGGGAGCGTGGTTTGTGAGGAAAATGGGTCTGACCTTGGAGGGTAAGGTCTGAGGGTTGAGCGGTTTCATGTTTATGGTTGCCTAATTTGCGCAGAGCAGAAAGCAGACAGCACAGAGACAGAGACAGAGCGTTTGAGATAAACTTGCCTGTTTGTTGGTACTGAGCTGCTACATCAGATTCAATTCAAGCAACAACGACTCTCGCAATGCTCTCTTCTTCTCCTGCATCACCGTCGCTGGCACACCTCTTCCATTGTCACCATATCCATCGCTGGCCAACTTGAGAGAGCGAGAGAGAGAGAGAGAGAGAGAGAGAGAGAGAGGAGAGGGGGATTTCGGCTGGGAGGAGTTGGGATTTTTAGGGTTTAGGGTTCGAGAAAGGTACTGCCCCCTGGTTGTGGGATTTCCTGCCAGCCACAACGGCGGATCAAAATCGGAGAGAAGGGCATTGACGACGGCGTTTTGTTTAGATACGAATCGTTTTGGGGTGACATATCGGGGTAGAAGGGTAAACAAGTACTATTATAGCGAGTAAAATCGTTTTGGAGTCTTGGTGATAAAAATGCGTCACCATTTGTGACCTCAACCCGCTTGCACTTTGTTTCAGATGATTAATTTGATGGAAGTAACGTACACGAAAATAATAACTTGTGTGTATGAATATAGAGTAACTTAATGGTGCTGAACACTCCGTTAACCTTGTTTACACCATAATTAACTAAGCGTGACTAAAACACCAAGGTAGACGTGCCTTCCTCCCTGCCAAAGGGAGATGCTCTTCGGAAGGGGCAACCACCTGCCGAAGCTCCAAACTGCCC